TATTGTTTGCCTTTTGCATAGTAGTGTAAATAATTCTGTAATGTATGTGTTTGGACATAGTGTTCCTATGAGTCTTGTTTAAATCCAATTCAGAGAAACTGAATTCCAGGAGGGACTGCCTTATACAAGTAGACTGACTTGTTGTACTTGTTTCCAAATAAATTTAACTCATTTCCATAGCTAATGTTGTAAACGTAGATCCATCAACAGCTTTTAAGTCTATATTTAAGACAAGTTATAATTAAACATTACCAGGTGTATGTATAGCTCTTATGAAATGAAATTTTAGTGTTTCATTAGCATCATCTAATCATGGATGCTGCAGCTTAATTCTTTGATGTAAACACATTGTTGACTAATTGAAGCTTCCAAGTTGTAATGTGAAAACATGTAAAGGCAATCTATGTTTCATTTGCAGGTTAGACAAATGGGAAGGATGTGTGGTGTGTGTGGCACTTGTGGTATCTTTGTGTGAGTAACGTTGCACCAGTTGATGAATGTTATTTCTGTACTTTCACTTTAAAATGTGACCATGTTGGGGCCTGGGGATTTAGCTCAGTGTCATAAGCGCCTGCCTTGCAAGCAGGCAGTCATGAGTTCGATCCCTGGTACCGATAAAAAAACGAAAAAGACAAAAAAAAAAAAAAAAAAAAGTGTGACCATGTTGCCTCCAACGAGGGTTATTTTTCTTGTTTGTCTTTATATTTGGGTAAAAATAGAGACATTTCAGTCTGAATGTTATCCCATTTGGCATGGTTTCTGTTTGTGTTTAGGAGAAAATGATTTTTCTGTTCATTATGATGCTTTAAAACAATACATTTTAAAATTTAAGTTTTAAAGTCTGTCTTCCTATTATGATTTAGATCAACTTTTAAAAGGATTTAAAATCAGTACTTCTCTTTTAAGCCTCTGATTTTCATTTAGAAACTTAGCTACAAAATTAGGGAATAGCTACACAATTGGGGAATAGTATGCCTCGTAAGATTTTAATTTTAGTGTTGAGTATTGAACTCAGGGTTTTGAGCATGCTAAGAATGTACCTTTCTACTGAATGTATATCGCTAGCTCATGTGATTTTTAAATCAGTGAAAGATGTTGAGCTTCGTGAAGGAGTTATTCATGTGTTCTCAGTTCCATCCAGTGTTGAAATAAGACACTCATCTGTTACATGAGAATACTAAAGAATAATACTGTCGTGGCTCAACTGCCTTATAGTAGTAAGCAAGAGAAAATTTGAAGCTCCTGTCAATAGCCTATTTTTTTAGCACTTTCCCCAGGTTACCTATGGTCAGCTGTGCTGCCTTCATGGTTGGACTTTGCTTTTTCCTGTTTTTTTTTTTTTCTTTCTTTCTTTTTCCTGAGATGTTTGACGTAGAAAAAGCCCATGTATTTTGAATGCTGTGTATCAGACACAATTTTTCATCTGTTTTAACTCCCTACAATTACCATAAAAGATAGATTCTGTTCCCCTTAACAGATGAGGGTACTGAGGTACGTACAAATTATGGAACTTAACCAGGATACTGAGGTGTACAGAAGGTTATAGAACTTAACCTATTATTACATCACAAGTTAAACTGGTAGAAAAAGGATTCCAACCCAGGTAATCTGCTTCTGGAGCTTTTTCAGTTGTTCATTTGTTTTACAAGAGTCAGGGTCTCATTGTGCAGTTCAGGGCGGCCTTGAACTCACTATGTAGCCTGGACTGGAATTTGCACTGACTTGAGTGCTGGGATTAGAGGTGTGAGCTATGATGCTCGCTTGTATTGTTAATTGCTTGGCTATATTGACCAGGTGGCTTACAAGTGGGTCAGTATGTTCTTGTTGGGATGGGAATTATTATAGTACATTTACTGAGATGTCTGTGAAAGGACAAAGCAGCTTACCTTTCTCATTCAGAGACGCCATGGGAAATAAAGGATAGTATAGACGGAAATACGAATTTACATGAACAGTTTCTTAGGACAGAACTTCTAGCTACTATAGCTCATTTGGGTTTGAAGGAAACCCAAAGGACTCTTGGATTCCTAAGTGTCTTGATCTGCCCATGTGCTCTGTCTCAATTTCTTCAGCCTCAGACCCAGGAATTGGGCATCTTCAGATTTAAATTCAGTAGAACATATTCTAAATTTATATTCTATATGTAAAGTTAAATTGAATATTTTTTCTCGGATTCAGCAAGAGTACTCATATATAGGTTAGCTTAAAAGGAATCATCTTTCTTTGTATTCTTATAATATTTGATGTAAATATTATTTTTCTACCCCCTAGTCAGAGGTGTACACTATTAGATAAATGCATATTTTCACACAGTGCCTTTCTATGAAAGGCTGTTCAACTTTTCTACCTGTGTGAGCTGGTAGATGTGAGCCAGATGACAACTGATGCCATATATTGAGGTGTATATTTTATACCAGGTACAATCTCATTTAATCTTCCTAACAACCCTGCAAGACAATTATTAGTTTCCTGTTGTATAGATAAGAAAAATTATCCTCAGGAGGGATGATTGATTTTTTAAGCCTTGTTACTACTTGATGAAGCCTAGTTCTGACAAAGCCCTTGTTTTTCTCATTGATTAATAATTCCCTAAGGAGATTACTTCATTTTCCTGAAAATCTAAAGCAAAATAGCTTTCTTGGATTCATGTACCTTCTTAGGTACAATGAATAGCTGATCCTAGGATTTTACCTTGTTTATGTGAAGACATGTTAATCTGACAGCAGCAGCCTCTTATCAGAGAATGGTTTAGTTTTTAAACCAAAGGTAAAAACCAAAGCAAAACATTCCAGTGTATATTTAAAACAATAAAAATGCAGCCTCTGAAACCTGTGGCTGTGGTCTTCAGAATTGCCCTTGATGAGCTCTTGGATCAAAGTGATACAGAAGGTGACCTTGGTGATTAAAGATCAACTTATTTTTCAGTGTTGACTTTGGCAGTTACTTGGGTGTGGGGTTTCATGTACATTATTGCCATTGCAGCAGTAAATCCCTGAGGAGCAATTGAGGCATGAAGCCACATCTGTCTCATTAAAGAAAATATGAAGGCAATACAGTGGCATTTACCTGAAATTTCAGCACTCTCGGGCTAATACAGTTTAGGAGAATCGTAAGTTTGAGACTTACCTGGGTATCTGAGTAACTTACGAGAACTTGTCTAAAATAAAAGTTAAGAAAAAATGCTCAGGATCTAGGTCAATATGACAGCCAATACCACAAGAAAAAAAACCACTTGTTAAAATGGTAAGAAAAATGTCATTTAGGACTATTATGATAGGTGTTACGATTCTTGTAGGAGGCAAGAGAAAGACAAGCTCAAATCCCAATATAGCAAGACTAAGTAGAGATTTATAGCTAGCACATGTAGAGCAATTTTAATAAGAGTTAGTGAGTAAAAAAAATGACTAAGTAGATATCAAGGGTAGTGAGGTTCTTGCTGTAAGTAGGCTAAGAAATCACACATAAAAGATGAGGACTGGGAATTTGAACACATATCGAGTGTGAGGGATTCTCTAAACTAACTTAGCAGGATCCTTGCTAAAACTGGGCCATGCAGACCTAGCAAGGATGGGACCAAGGTGGAGCCTGATTTGAGAGGAAAGTTAGAGGAGTCTGACTAAGTGTTAGTCAATGGCAGTGTTTGCCAATTCCCAGTGCTATATTAGATATAAGCATGTAGGTATTGAAAGTGAACCCGTACTAGCAGCATACCATGAAATAAGGTACACAGTGAATTCCAGAAAATAGGCTTTATTCTTGGTATAGACACCAGTGGCAGGGTGGACATAAAAGATCGTAGCAGCTCTGAGAGATGGGACCTTTATTCTCCCCAATGGCTATACTTTGAGGATTTTTTAAATTTTAATTTTATTTAACAGATGTAAACAATGCCAGGTGCTGTTCAAATCCTTTGCAAATATTAAACCATTCAGTCCTGAAAGCAGTCCTATGAAGTGTTTATACCATTGTTACTGCATTTTTATGTAAGAGAGGACAGTGGTCCAGAAGAGTTAAATAATCTGCCCAGTGCTACATGGTAAGCTAGTGGCAGGGCTTGGATTTCAGCCATGGCAGGTAGGCTTCCGATGGGACATTTTTAATCTCTGTCAGGTTGCTTCTTAGTCTGTTTCCTCCTAGGGATTTATGACCTTCTCCTTGGGCCAGGGTTACTTTTGTTCTGCCCGAAAATAAAAATAATTCTTTATCTGGATTTAGTCAGATTTCTGGCCTTGTTTAAACTCAAGTCAGGACTGGAAACTGTGTTTAGCTTGAATCTCCTGTAAATCACAAAGCTGTTTGTAAACACCCTTTCAGGTTATGTAATATTTTACCTTCTAGATCTCAGCCAATAGTTCATAGTGAGAGACACTTTCAGTTTTCCCACAGTCTATACAGTGTATTGTTGGTGACCATTTCTCATCAACAGTTGGATTTTTTTGTTTTCCACTGGCATCTTCCATGTCATTCATTTTTACAAGTAGTGCTTCATTTGTGATTAGTGCTTGGTAATTTTTTGATAAAAGGTTTGATAAATTGACTTCTAGATATTATATCCTGGCATTAAAATTCCATTTTTTCTTTCTTTCATCCTTTTTCCTCCTCCCTCCTTTCCTCCTCTCCCCTCCCGCTCCCTTTTTTTCTCCTCTCTGTGTCTCTGTCTCTGTGTGTCTGTCTGTCTCTCTGACACACACACACACACACACACACACACACACACACACACACTCACTCACTCACTCTCTTTAGGCTGGTCTCTTGTAACCCAGCCTGGCTTCACCCTTGTGATTCCCCTGCCTTGGCACACCCCCATGCTGGAAGTGCAGGTATATGCCATCACTTGCTATCAGACCTTTCTTAAAAAGGCAAGTCTCCTTTCAGCAGAGCAGATCAAGCTACTGAGATATTTATTTAGTAGTCTCCTTAAATTTTTAAAGTCATGTATTACTTGGATACTCTTCAGTATCTCATTTTTAAAGTTGTCTTCTATTTTTTAATTGCAGATCTATCTATAGCAGTCCAGAAATTTTCCCAATCATTACAAGACTTCCAATTTGAATGTATTGGTGATGCCGAAACAGATGATGAAATTAGTATTGGTAAGTACTCTGTACTTCAGTATTCTAAGTTACAATCTTCAACATCTGATTTCAATACGTATTTTATTGAAATCAAAGATTCCCGTACCAAAAAATAAACATTGAAATTATCCGTTTTATTAAAACTGACTGTAATTTTGAAATTCTGTGGAAGATAATAGTATGAATTGTTTTTAAATTGAAACTGTTGTTTTTTCCATAAGGAAATTACTTAATTGTATTTATAAAACCCAGGTCAGCCTTCTGAGAAAATGTGAGTTGCATTGTTTGTCGCTGCATCAAAGTAAATTGTTCATTCAAACAAGCATGTATTGTGCATCTACTATTAAATATGCTTGGTGCAAGTTTAGGAATAATCTCACTTTTTTTCTTTAATGCTGATTTCTTTTTTAACTTGAGCATTTGTTTATAAAACGAATCATTTAATTAATAAAGACGTATTAAACTAGGATTCTGGGAATTTGCCACAGTCTGACCTGGGGAACCCACACTTCTTTCCTACCGTGTGATTTCATTTCCTATAAAATGAAGAGGTTTGGTTATGTGACTTTTATCTGTACCTGAGTTCTGATTGTTTGAACATCAGATTCATGAAATATTCTATTTCCCTCCTTTAAAGAGCCCTACTTGCCATTTTATGATGTGAGATTCAGTTGTAGGCTTCATGTGTCTTATAATCACCAGAAAATATATATATATATATATATATATATATATATATATATATTTCAGAGAAAAACATTATTTGTACCTACTTTCCAGGTATAAAAAATATAGTATTACAAGTTTTAGAACAGTGATTCCCAACATTTAATGTACACATGAAATACTTCAAAATTTAATAATAATGCAGATTCTGATTCAGTAAGTCTGAGGCGAGGGTGATACTTCTGCAGTGTAATAGACTTGGGTGCACTAACAGCAGTGCTGGTCTATGAAGCACACTTGAGTGGCAAGGACCTATTATCCACATCACACCTTTCCACAGTTATGTTTTTCTCCTTCTTCGGCTCTCTTTTTTTGTATAGTCTTGCCAGTTATGACTCTTACTTTATAAAGTGTGTTCATTCATTTTGAAAGTCTCACTAGCATGTCCAAACCTTGTTGTGACAAGAGAGAGAGTCAGTGACTTACAGGCCCATAATCCCAACAGTGAGGCAGGAGGATGACAGTTAGTGCAAGGACAGCCTGGGCTATATAATGAGTTCAAGGTCAGTCTGGACCTTGTCTCTAAAAATAAAAAAACAAACAATACAATACATACAAGGAAAGAAAAGATAAAAGGCAAGGCAATATTTTCCCCAGGAAAGAAAGACAAACCCCTTTGGTTTCTCTTTCACTGTGAGGCATTATTGCTTCTGGAGAAATTCCTAGGCTGCTTCTGGAGAAATCCCTAGGCAGAGGACTGTCCTGGGACAAGGTATTTTTGCTTATGAAATTTGCAGCAGGCTTGCAACATTATGGACACATCAGCAGGAGGTAGGCCAGTGATCACCATCTGCCTGCTCCATTAGGAGTGTGAGTTACTCTGCAGGGAGTGTGGCTGTGCCTAGTCTCTGACATTGTGAGTGGCTCCTTCTGCCTTGGCTGGGATGAAAAGTAGCCCAGGGCCGATTAGGAGCTTCTAAGAAGAATGCAGAGCCCTGCCACATGGACCTCAGGAAGCAGGGCTCCTATCTCTTCCCCCTCCACAGTGGTCATGCGTAATCAATAGGTGAAAAGGGAGAAAACAGTGTTAATTTATTGGCTTTTTTTTTCTTTTTTCTTTTTTTATGGTGCCAGGAATCTTACCCAGCACCATACTTGGCCACTGAGCTCCATCCCCAGCCATCCTCAGATTGTGGTAGATTTGATATCTAAAAGGTGATCTGTTTGACTCTTTCCACATAGGCTAAATAAATATTGTCTTGTGACTGGCAGATTAGATTTGAAAGGTGCAGATTGCCAGTGGTAAAGACATTTTATAGGTAATAAATATCAAATTCCAATTATTCAGGACAGTGAGAAGTTTGATGCTAGAAGTCAGAGGTAAGTTGATAAATAACATACAGGTGTAACGTGTTAATTTTAGATCAGGAGACTTAAGCACTATGTGCTGTGAATCTGACTTAAGTATCAGTCCTTTGTTTGGGAAATCTTAGAACAAAATGATTTATTTGTGGTCCTAGGGATAGTATGTAGGGCCTTGTGTATACTAGGCAAGTTCTCTATACTAAGACAAACCCATTCCTGAGCAAAACGATTTATAAACAAAAATTATTTCTGGAACAATTGTGAAAACCCAAGTATATCACCATCACCTAATTATGCAACATGTTTATCCTTTAATTCAGCAAATTATGAAAATATATGATAAAAGCTTAAAATAAATTATCTAAGCAATGAAGAAATAGAATGAGCTCAATAAGTATTCCAAACAGAAAATTATGTATGAAAACAAAAAAAAGAGAATTATGTATGAAGCTATTCCATGTTATTCCAAGTATAGTGAATTGAGAGAAATGTATTCCTGTGATTTGTGTGGAGGTGGTGTGGACAGTGAGTACAGGGATCAGTCATGCTCAGCCTCCTTAATCATCTTTGGTTCTGCATAGAAATGTACAAACTTTCAGTTTTCTTTGCCTTGGCTTTTTGAAGCCCCAGTTTCAGGTTCTTTATTACTCTGATTTAATGAAAGAGGAATGAAGTAAGGACAGCTGTGACTCTAAGCACTGATTGATATCCAAAATGGTTTCAACCAGAATTGTCTTGAGACTTAACAATGACACCACTGGAAAATTCAGTGACTTAATGAAAAAGCTCATTTGTCTCTCTCCTTGCTTCCCTTCCTCCCACGTTGTCTCTGTCATACTGAATCCAGGGTCTTCACCCTGGGCTACATCCTCAGCCCTTTTTATTTTTATTTTGACACAGTGTCATGCTAAGTTGCACAAATGGGATTCAGACTTGTAATTTTCTTTCTCAGCTTCCAAAGAGCTGGGATTACATGTGTGTGCTACCAGGCTTGGCTACTCGTCTCTTATAAGTAAGCCCCATCAGTGCAAAATGATTTGTGAAATAAAAGCATTGTCAGGCTTTCCAAATGTAAAGTATCTTGGTGGGAATGAACATCAGAACAATTGGCGTACTGTGTCTACTTTCACATGGAGAGAATGGAATACAGATTTTTAAGTAAAGGAAAAGAAGATAGTGTTAGAATATCGATGTAAGCCTCTCATTTGTGGTAGCTGTTCTGGGAGTTTACTAAATGTATAAACCAGTACCTGTTTGTCATCTTTGCTGGTGTTCAGCAGTCCCCTTCTGCCTGTACCCCTTTGGCCTGGTGCATCCTGGGGTTTTTGTTTGTTTGCTCTTTGATTTTGCTTTGTTTTGATTTATATGGCAGTGAGCCATTGCAGACTGGGAAGGAAACAAAATGGAATTAGTTATTGAGGACCTAGAGGGGAATTCCTGAGACCCAAGAGCTAGCCTGGCTATTTCCAGGACTTAGGTCCCAAGCCAGGCAGCCTTCTGGTTTTATAGCCTTCGTTTCCATCCAGGAGCAACAAGGGACCATTTCTTTTTCCTTTTCTAAGGACAAGTGAACTTCAGCTGAGCTTTTGCTTGTTCCCTTTCTACTGTCCACTGCAGGACTGACTGAGTGGAAAGAAGCCTGTTGAGGCTACCCAGCTTCCCACAGCGTCTCACTGACTGTTTTTATACTGCTTGGAGGTTTGAATAGAGTTAGGAGGACAGTGTTAGACACTTGGGCTTTGGAAGTTGGTGATAGAGGGGGAGGGAAGTAATTATAAAGTGATACAAGTTTCAGTCATTCTCAATATATTTATAGGGGTAGACTAGATATAAAATGTTTGATTATTTAACTACAATTAACATGGCAATATGCATGCCACTGCAAAAATACAATACTATTGCATCAGCTCTGGAATACATTCTGCATAGGAGTTGATAATGTTCCAGAATGAATCATTTATACAGCCTTAAGCCTTACTCATAGGTAATAAGAAAAAGGCTATCTGTACAGAAAATAAAATGCTATTCTACTTTAAATATCAGGAATTTCAAAGGTATTACTGCGAATCTGCTATGAGACAAGATTTTGGTGAGGTTAATTAAATACTTCAGAGTATAAAATAATGATGGCTGCACCTCTGAGTACATTACTTCAGAGTTTATGTCTACACCAAAGCTGGAGCATGTAGCCTACTCCATGTTGTTTCTCATGAAATGCCTGTAATTTGAAATCACTGTTAATGCCTAACAGAAGTTCAGATTTTTAAAAAATTCAAACATTGCTCATCAAGCTGACCTATTGCCAATAAAAATATTAGTCATTGATGTGGGACAAGTGTATTCATCCTATGTAATCCTGGAAACCACTGTGAAGTCCAGTTGCAGTTGTACATAAACAGCTTGGTCAGTGATGATGTGTAACAGCTAGGTTAGCTCTCAGGAATGTCTTGGACTATATGAGCTTTGTACTTAAGAGATTAAACATTTATCAAGAAGGAGAGTCAGTTTGCTAGTAAATATTTTAGGTGGGGACTTCATTGCTTTAGACACACCTAAACAGAACATTCTTGTGGTGGAGAAAGATAGCAGACTGCCACTTGTGGACCAAAGCTATAGTTCCAGACTCGTAGTAGATAAATGAGGCAATCAGTTAGGTACTTCAGATCAAAATATAGTTTGTAATATTCACCTAGCTATTTCTGACCTAACTAGTATATTCTTGTTCCTTTGTTTACTTTCGAATACAAATACACAGACATAGCAACAAAGATGGTTACGCTTGATAGTTATTTAGAGTGAAGAACATGCTACATTTTCCAAAGTAAACTTTTGTGTGGAAATATATGTTCATATTATATATGTATGGTTTGATGATTGTGTTAGCTTGAACCTGAACCAGATTTACATCTAGCATTGACTGGAGTACTGTCTATATTTTTGGTTCTTTCTTGTTCAGTCCTTAAGAGCCTATGTGGAAAGGCGAGGCT